TGTAAACAATCTGCATTTAATCACGTATTCTAATCGCAATGTCCAACCCCACTGGAAAAAATTCACACTAACTGCTACCGATAGTGAACTTTTAACGCAATTCTCCCGCGTTTTAACTTTTTCTACGAATAAACTCGGCTTTTAACTACCTTGAACTTAATCCAATCGCATGTTTATTCCTTGTAAACAACCTGCATTTTATAAAATATTTCACACACAGTGGGCAAAGTCCAGATAGGCAACAACCAATCAAGGAGCCCTCTCTCAAATATTATCCTTTTCTCTTGTAAAATGTATCTTCATTGGTCGAGATCGCAATATATCTTTGGTTAGAGTCTATTGAAGATACAACAGAGTTACAGTTTGATTTTCGTAGTAGAATGACACGGAATTATATTTTTTAGGCATCTAACTGTAGAAGAATAATTTTGATTTTCTCTCTGGTAGAGAAACGGCAGTAAGCGTTTGGTCTCATCACGCTACGCGCTCTCTCTCCGTCGGGGAATAGATGGCGGTGTGTGACGAGACCAAACAACTGCTGCGAAGGAGAAAACAGTAAGCGTGGCACCCATCCATTTTATTTTTGCTTAGAAGTATTTAGACAATAGAGAAAATAGACCAAAAGATACCTGTGTGAGTTAAGCTAAATTACCTTTTTTCTCTCTTTCTCTTAAGGTGAAGTAATGCAATATTTTCGATCTTTTATAAAGTTATGCTCTTTTTCTGTTACAAAAATAAAAACATTAGGTACACAAAGTGTCCCATCTCATCCCACCCGGTCAAAAAAAATAAATCTTGCATGCTACGCATGCCTATGTTTTTACTTGGAAGCCAGAAAATTCCCAATAAACTAGTTTAGTGCAAGTGACATTAAAGCATGAGTATCACCTTGCTGTCGTGAGCTGTACTAAGAAATATTGGCACTATGACATTTCTATACTGCCGTAACCTTGAGCCAATATTACCTAGTAAAGACTCGTGCTCGGATGGTTAGTAAGAAGTTAGTACTGGCTTTCGAAAATGTGATCTACACTGTACATGTACCTAAGGCTATTTTGAATTCCAGAACAATTGATTTCCTTGTGCCTCTACATTTCTTGAAATTTTTTGTACGTGAAGACAGCCAGCAAGGATTTTATGATATTTGAAAAACAACTAGTCTGGATTATCAGGATAGTTAAAGTTAGCATCAAAGACAAATCAATTCTGAGCACTAAACAGAGTAAACATGAAATAATTGCAAAAACAATTAGTTTAATATACATATACTGGTAAACCACAAACATCAGCACCTGTACCAAATTGAAATCCATATCAACATACATCAGCATGCATTAGTGTATATATTTCATTTTTTTTCCTGTCATAAGTGTCCAGTTAAACTAACAGGGGCACACATATGGATTTCGGTTCAACTGGAGGAAATTGAATAAAAACTTACACATTTTGTAAGTTTTGACCAGTAATCCCTATTTAAAAATCAGCTAAGAGAATTTTATTTTGGTTTTGCAAAAGTTGTTTCTTATGAGAAAGGATTCACCATAAACTCTCCCCTCTTGTGGAGACATGGTGGCCTTATGATTAGTGAGGTGGAGTCAGGGTCAAGAGATCTGCATTTGTAACCTGGCCAGGTCATGTGTCTTGTTTTTGTACAAAATGATTTACTCTCATAGTACTCCTCTCCACCCAGGAGTATAAATGGGTACCAGAAATTAGTCAGGGGAACCTGATGAAATGACAAGAGGGAAGAGGGAGGGGGGAGGCGGGGTAACCATGGGGTGGACTGTCATCATGTCTAGGGAGGAGTAGTAATACCAAGTCGCTTCATGTGAGGAATCCAGGATTATAAGCTCAGGGCCTGGATGGGCCACTGCTTAAATACAGACTTTACCTAACTAGCTACTACAGCCTCTGGTTTAAATAATTTCAATTGCTTCTGTTACGAATTATACGAACTTGCAACATACAGATGATTATTTTTTGCCCAATTTATCTCAGTCAATTAGGACTGTCTTTTGTAAATCTTGAAATTTTCAAAAATCCAGACAGAGGCGGAGTTTTCTATACTAATGTCTGAGCACTTTGTAGGCTTCCTGCAATCTGGCGGGACGCGTAATTAAGCACACAGTGGTAAAGGGCCCTTCCGCAGTAGCTACAAGACGCTGACAAAACTTTTTTCTCTTCACCGAAAATCACATCAAAATTTGTCTTTGCTAAATTTCAAGTGTGCTGCACGTATCAGCACCCCCCGGGGAACCCCTATATATAAGAGGGCGAGGATGCGCGCCGAAATTTCGAAAACGACCCCAATAAAATTATAAAAGGTAGCTGAGTCTTATCCGTGTGGGAGTGGCAACAACAGATATCTACCCCTATAAAGTATCAATTTAAACTCAAAAAAATTGAAAAATCCCAAAAATAAGAACTTCTTTATCGATGTGCTCTAGAGGCTCAAGTCAGATCATTAAAATCGTCCTAGTGCTTATTAAATGCTTATTTCAGGTATTTTATTGAGCGAAAAACATCTTAAAAGGTACCAGCTAGGTCTCTGGCAGTCCACTAAAGTTGGAGACACCATAAAAGGTACCAGATCACTGATTTTGACCCCTGAAAGGTACGACAAGCATCCTCACCCATTTCTGATCGCCTCCTCCCCCACCTCCCCCACCAACCCTGTCAGCACCTAAAAACAAAAGATGTGATTTGCCAACTACGAGCTGTCAGTCTCATACCTCGTAAAATTCACGTAAAGTGGTTATTTACCTATAAAAACTTTGGGCACTGATCTGTCAGATTTTTATGCTGACAAAATCTGTCCTGCTTTGAGGCAGGACGGATGTACTTTTTTTTGTTTTGTTCGTCTTGACATAATTTGGTAGGGATTAAAATAACTGTACGTCTGCATTTGTTAAACAGACTTTTCAAGTGCATCCGGAACTCGATCTGTGCACTTCTAGTGCATAAAGTATTCTTTTCTAACATAGCCAAAGATCTCTCGATGTCTACTGTTCAAGCCTTTTTCTCTTTTCAAAGAGGCATCAGAATTATTTCATGTCAAATTTGCAGTAAACTGCTTACGTGTCATCCTTTGTTTTCAAAGTGTCCGACCAGGTATGACTGAAAATGGCACCTCGCTTTGATATGAATCCTTTTGTTGTTGCTTCTTACTTCCTGAAATTATCACTTGAAATTCGCTCGGTAATGTAAAAACAACAACAAAAACAACGCGAGTAATACTTATATATCCAAATTCTTTCATCACAGGAAAAGTTGTAGGACCTGATAGCATCTTAGGGACGGACCATTAGATTTTTGATGCGGGGGGAGGGGGGGGGGGTGTTGGGGTGTTGGGCAATAACCCCCGAAAAAATCGAGCACGGGCTCAATGGAAGAAGACAAATCGTGCAATTGGAAAAAGACCCCCCTCCCCTTCCCCGCATCAAAAATCTAATGGTCCGTCAATAAGATACCTTTTACATTATTCCAAAATGTGTTTCATTCCGGAATGAAATGAATTTCATGCCGCGTTTGCATGCAAGATTATTTAGATCATAAAAACAAGTAGTAAAAACAAGTATTTACGTCCTTTTTCTATGCTTCCCTCGCTCCTAAAGAGGATTCATACAGATATGAGTGTCATGCCGCGTTTACTTTACACAGGTACAAAAGGTCGTCCAGAATAAGTGTTTCGTTCTGGAATGAAAACCTCAATAAACTCATTCACAAATGACTCGTTTCGAATAATTTTATTCTGGTATCATGCGACAACCGGGATGAACTCGTTCTTGAACAAAACTCATTCCGATATCATGAAAAAGGCCACAAAGAGTTTTTATTTCCAGAGCATCATGCTTTGCTTTCCTGCCACAACACTATAAATTTCAATAGCGTTGAAGCAACAACCCGCTTTGAACTGCTACGCTGCCACTGAAACAACGATTAGTGACCACAAAAGCAACATACTGTAATATTGTCAATTCAACATCAACAAAAATCTTCATACAGGGTAAATATCAATTTGTGTTGGTATCAATTATTGCGTGACAAGCTTCTAATATAACTAGGATAGGGAAAAACACAACGTAAAACCTGAGCTCCCGGCAAAAAGTAATACCCAGGCGTAATATAATGACGGAAACAGTTATTGGTCTTATAAAATCATAAATAAACTAGGTAGGAGTGTTGTGTTAGATTTTTTTTACAAATTGTAGTGATTTATGCCTCGATATGCCAATAAAAGGTGGCGACAAGTAGGCACACCATGTATATTTCATAGTTGCTAGGAAGTAAATTTTGCCGGACTTTGAGTTCGTCTCACAATATAACAACATAATTGCACAAGAAAGTTTTTACAGTAACTTTATAACCATCCTTTTGTCTTTCAAAAGCTAGAAGCTCAGTAGATTTTGTCATATCGGTCATTGTTAAAACTGTCTTTGTTTTGATGCTACTTTTCGACATAGAAAAAGTATGTCGGACAAAAATATTTCCCAAAAAAGAAATATATCTTTGCCATCCTCAATAATTTCAGGGGATTAAGTTTAGTTGATAAAACAAAGGATTATGCCGACAGAAATACCGGAGGTCAAGTAAATTCGTTACATGAGGTCACACAACTCGGATAATATTCAGGGTGAAAATTTGCATATTTGAGCGGTCCAACGAAAAAAATCATTTCTCCAAAACTAAAATGTATTTTCACAAAAAAACTACACCACAATTATTAGGACATATTGGGCTACAAAATATGAAAGTAAGAGAGAAAACGAATTTGGGTGACTTGCCGCCGTTTGTCTGATGCATGTTGACATTAGCTCTTAATTGGCTTCTGATTTTGTGTCTATGTATCCCTCCCATTCTCAGAAGGGAAAAAATATTTGTTTTGCAACTGGGTAATATGTTGAGCTGATGTTTATAACCATTTTCAATCACCTTTTTTTCAGGCCAGGATGACTTAAAAGAACAACTTTGTAAGAAGCATCAGTCTTCTAACAGTTGCTATGGCTACAGGAAGAAGTTCAATTAAAGTTCCATGTGAAAATGAAGACTTACCTGACAAAGAAAATGCACCAAATTTTGACGAGGACACTTTACGAGGTTAGCTAGGTTCAACTTCGGCTTCAGCAATAGTTAGAACAATTTATATTTGATCAGGATCAGTTTCAAGAATGTAAGCAGATGTGGAGAATGATATTAATACACTGCATGACCACTTTAAAGGATGTTTAGCCAGTCATGACTCTCTTCTATGATTACAATATGCTGTTCATTGAGAAGATCTATGACACAGAAACTTTGCTATTTTCTTTTCTAACAGTTCAAAGCAATAACACAAAGTTATAATAAGTTAAGACTTTATTTGATCATCATATAACATCCATTGCGTAAGTTTGCATCATGGGTACCATCATCATCATCACCATCATCTTTCTATTTTAATGAAACACAATCACTTTGAAACCTTCAACATTCCCTCTCTTCTCCTCGAGCAACTCACAGGCATTTGATCTTCATCCAAGCCAAAGATGGTGGGGGGTTTAACCCTGCCTGACTGGCGTTAGGGAATTCGAATAAAAACTGTCACATCTAATTTCCAGTAGAGTACAAGTGTTATTTCTCATTGAATATGGAGGTGTTTAAGGTAGATAGTGTACCTTCACTAACAAATGGCCCAGTAGAAATAAGGCTTCAAGGTCTAGGTTTTAAAGCTTGGTCAATTAGTTTTTAAAGCTTGATCAACTAGTTGAAAGTCAAATTGCTAATTATTTCGCCTTTTACATAAATTATGTGGGGCATTTGAACATTTTATTAATTTTGCCCAGGGAATGGGAATTTTAGGAGACCTATCTCCAAAAATTTAAATGCCCAGGGGTTTGCCTCAAGTTGAGTGATGCCTAATTCTCATCATTATTCTTACCCATGATGTCACCTACATCAGTAGCATAATCATAACTATTGAAAATCTGCAGATTTTAAATCTCCAGATCTTGGCAACTCTGATTATACACTAATAATTATTAACTACGACCACAGACTTTGACACCTATTTTTAATTTTTTTTTCGAATTATTTTATTTTTCTTTGCAGCCACAGCTGATGTTTATAGAAATGAGGGTAATGAGGCCTTCAAGAAAGGAGATTTCATCAATGCTATTCATTTTTACACCAAAGGAATTAAAATGAACTGCAACGAGAAAGAACTGAAGGCCAAACTGCACAACAACAGGGCTATTGCACATTCTAAAATTGGTAAGATGATGAGGGCTTTAATAGGCATTTTTTTTTCTATTTTGAAGCTATTGAGTTGTCACTAGTAGTTTTCTGAAAAAGGTGATAATTTTGAATGCATGCCCGGAAAAATTTACCTCTTGTCTTGGCCCCTCAAATATACAAAGAAGTAACCCTACCCCAGATATCAACGAGCATCACAAGTTTTTCTCAAAATTATAGTAATGGTGGTTGGTTTACAACATGTATGGCTAATCAGAGATATTTATGTCAATAACAGGAAATCACCAGGATTCACTAAGGGATGCAGAAGCAGCCATTGAGTTAAATCCAACTTTCCTTAAGGCAATTGTGAGAGGTTAGATATGTTAGCTATACTATAATAATAATAATAATAATAAAAAAAGAACTCAACACTCTAAGGTTAAATGAGGTTAAATAGAGTTCAATCTTGTCTCAATGGACTTTAATTAAGAGGTCGAGACCACCCTGATGTACATTTGAATCCAGCTCTTGACTGCTACGCCATTACTTCCATTAATCATGATGAGAATATTATTTTGAACGGGGTGAGGAACTCAATGCGAAATGCAAAGCAAAATTTCAGCATGAATATTTTAGTTCCTTAAGTCCAATGAGTCACAGGTGTCAGATATATTAAGAGCGTGTCCACGAGATCACCGGGCGGTCGTGCTACATGCCATCCTACCGATTTCATTTAAACTTTGCCAGTTTAAACGGTCTACCCCAAAACTCAAACACAGAAACTGGTATCTGGTTTGGTTTTTTCCGGGGGGAGATAGACCACCCCCCCTCCCCAGTTTTTCTTGATCTTCACTAAGGAAATCTCTTCAAAATAGGTAAAATGTATGAAGCTCTCACTGCTATGGTATTTAACTGATTACTTTGAGAATTTGCACACATATTTTTACATCTTTAGTTAATGTCTGCTGCGAGTATCAGTCAGTTTAATCAACGGCTTGTCAATCAACAGAGGCAAATATACGACTGTGTTTTTAGACTTTTCGATTCATCTAAATATTTTACAACTTTGAGGTCAAATATCTCCCGTTGCCAGAAAGCTACAACACTAATCTTAATTACCCTTTATAACCCATCATTTCATCTCTGAAAATCATCAAAAAAATCTTTGGGCACTACCGTATTTTTGTCTTGGATGCCTTTTAAAATCTGCGACTGTGACAAGTTTCTCTCAACTACACCTGTCACGCAATTCTTGCTCTAGGCGGTCACTTGACAAAATAAACCTACATTTTTTAGCTCTTTATACAAGATGATTGATCAAGTAAGGTGAAAACTGTGAAAAACTTTCGAGAAAAACTTTCGAGATACATGTAGACGAAAAAATCAATGGGAAATCTTAGCGTTTCTTTCTTCGGTCGTTTCTTACTTTGAAGATTTGCTAAAATCAGCAGATATGGCTTTTGTACGGCACAAAACATTCATTAGTCTATAATTTGATTGTTTATCATCATCACTGCTCATTTTAGGAGATTTTAAAGTCACATGCTGCTTGTTGGCTGATATTACTACATGTTCCAGTGTGCTACAACTTCGGCTTTCACAGACGAGAAATTCTGCGTTCTCGCTCGAGAGCAAATATAAATTGTTCTATCGGACCAAAAACTGTGCTTCTATCCCGAAAATAAAATTAAAATAGTGTTGACGTTGTCACTTACCGCCATCGAACATTTACATACAGAACTCCGCTATGCTAACATCAGTTGTGTGACCCAAAGACTCTCTGTAGGAATTATTCAAGCGCGTTGTTCATGCTATCTGCTTGATAACAATTTCAGAATAATCTGCAGATCTCTATGATTATTTACCTGCTTCGATCGTTAAATATCTGTATATTTTTTCAAAGCATTCTATTACTACATATAAATCTACATTTCTCTAGATCGAGTGTTGCCGGCGTTTAGTTGCGTGACTTGTAAAATTTTTAAATAAGAATGAGCCAACAGTAATTTGACGAGTAGCCTTCCTGCAAATTTCCCTTGATGAAATCCCAAGACATAGCCAGTTGTTTTCGTGAGCAAAGACAATAAATATGAATGAAAAGTGAGATGCGAATGTCTTTTTTTTTTAGCTTAATAGCAGCTGTACCCTCTCCTGCAGTCTTCGTCTAAATTTTGCAAGGTCCCTCCTTATCTTCTGCCTTGTTCGGTCAGTTTCGAATTCTGAAGCTAGATCATTGGCATCGGCCTCTCTGTCCTCATTCATATTTACAGAGGGGGACCTCATCAATAAACCAATTTTTGTTACAGCAGATAACCGGCTGAAGTATCGAGCGATTTGCTGCTGTATCAACCGGTCAGTCTTAGACAACATTTCTGGCTGGTGTCGTCTCTTAAACTCTCTCGATATTTGGGAGATCACATTAGAGGCGGTTGCCTTACTAGTTTCCTCCCTTGCCCAGCACACGTCTAGGAGATAATTCCCTGCTTTCTGAGAAAAGGTGGCTGTTTTTTGTGTTTTCCAAAGAGCCCATCCAAAGTCCACTTGGCTAGTTAGGGATTGTTCGTCAGAATTTTTACCTGAGGTCCGACCTCGAACGTAGCCGTCCCCTATAGAATGGCAAGCCGGTCTTAGTCCATTTCCTCTTGATCTTATCCTAGGCGGAATGTTTTTGTCGGCCTCACTGTGTTTGTCTTTGTCAGGGTACATTTGGATGGCAGCCAATGACTGAAACATCTTGATACACCCTTCTTTTAGCAAGAATATCTCGCTTTCTTGTTCCGTCTATAACGGATTGGGTATAGTTCTCGCGATGACCTGCGTTCAGAAATCTGTGCACGTTGCTGATAACCACCCGCTTCTACGATTAGTTTGCTGAAAGTTTCTAATGTGATGAGCCTAGTGAGACCCTGAGGTGTTTCAAACTGTGCCAGTTGGTCTGCGCTATAAACTTGTCGCAGTTCTTAAGTCAGAGGGAGGATCGCCCACCTCTATCTATGTGAGCGCCTCTACAGTACCTGCGTATCCCTAGCAATCATATGATAAAAAGTTCATCTCAGTCACAAATCACCAGTTAGGAAAACTGATGTTCAGATAAGCGCTCTTCTTGCCCTTCTTCCTTATTCATGGTCGACTCTAAGATAGCAGCTACAGTACGCGTTCTATTTAGGTTTACAGTCACCTTGCTGCCACCAGAAAGACTCGCCACCAGCTTTGATTTCTTCTGCCATCTGCAGATTCATCTCTCTCTCACTTTATGTCTCCGATTTTCATGAGGAGGAAACTGGCATTTACGAACCCGAAGGTCTGAATCTCACACCAAGTTATGCACGATATTTGAGGTACATCGTGAAATCGCGGCCTTCGTAGTCTCCAAATAAGCCAATACGCGCTAGAATAAGCTCCATCTCGGACGAAACGCATGTTTGGGATACATCGACGTCTCTCAAATTTTTTTTTTTTTTAAGCTGTATACCCACGAATTTAGAGGTATGAGCTGTTGCCGTCCCTGGACAGCGGGAGAAAAGTAACATTTGGTTCTACAGTTAGTTGCAAATGAACAAGACAACTGCACCATCTTGACTTTATCAATTCGAGTGTTAGATTGAATGGAGGGCTTTTTAGACACTCGATTTCTTATATGGCATCACTATGAAGACGTAATACAACTGATACACCTACACTACATAGGATTAACATTGTCTGTTGCGCTGTTGCTAGAAGGAGGAAAATATGACCGGAAGTGTACGCTCTTTTTAAAAAGAGTTTTAGAGACGTTTCAGAGATGTCTATCTTTGATCGGCTGTCACAAAAAAATGACCCCCACTTCAATTTACAAGGAAAAATGAACTTACCAACTCCTTGTTGAAAAAATTGGAATTCATTTGACCGATACGCCGGTTGTTTCAATTTTTCTTTTTCCTCGGGCTGCTATGAAACAGTTCATAAATTGACTAATGAATAAAGTGTTTTGAAATACCGTTCGGGATTTGCCTCTTTTTTCTGCGTACAAATCAAGGGTAGACAAAGTTTTTAAACATTTGACTAGATTTTCATGGAGTTCACCTGGATAATTTTCGTCGGCCAGAGTCAAGACGCGCCAAGCTAAGCGACATAGCCCTCCAGTAAAAAAATTTTCCAAAGAATAAACGTGGCGAGCGCGAGGAAACGCACATTTGACGATAGTAGACTTCATCAAGGATTTTTTCAAGTAGGGTAAATAAGCTTGCTCATATACAAATAGTAAATAAGTTGTCTCTTTACTATTGAGGTCAGTGGATAGAATACGCCAGGTGCGCCTACGGTGTTATACATGCGTGACATTTTCCGGACGTTACATGTACGAGTACGTGATCCGTTTAAGGGTCACAGATTTAGTGTAAATATTTCACTCCTCAACATCACCCAATGTCTCTAGTTTACAGAGGTCTTAGAACGTTTCATTATATGGAGTTGCCTTCTGCGGGTAGAAGGCTAGAAGCGAATTTCTCAGGCGTAATTGCCTTTGATTTCTCAATTGATGTTGTCGCAAACACAGTTTTTGGGAGTCACGAGACAAAAAAAACTTATCAGAACCTAGTTTCATGTTCTAATGGAAATAAATAGCAAATAAAAACACATTTTCTTGAGAAATAAAGTCACAAATGAGGGGGGTTCTCTGAAACAAATAGTGATAGAAGAGGATTTCAGTTCTGGTCAATATTGACTTTTCAAGGCCTAATTCCAAATCTGAGGGAACGTGCTGAGGGAATAAAAAAACATAAATGTGTGATAATGCAAGCAAGAGAATGAAAATACAAATAAAGAAAAAGGAGAAAACATAGGAACCCGTGTTGCAGCGTGCAGATATCTTTTGAACCAGACCTACACACATAAGCCCGACACCAGCCAGGGAAACTCGAAAGAGTCCTGTATATGAACTAGCTAGCACATGCACGCAGGAAAGGCCATGACAATCAGCGAAAATAATAGCAAATGCAGATGACATTTGCATTCAAAAAACAGGAAAATAAGATAATAGAAGGATTAGGAACTTTCT